ACAACGCGAGGGCCATCGACAAGAGGCTAGTTTTATTTGCCTTTTGACAGGAAAACGATTGAGTCATCCCTTACCAAATAATTAATAAAACAACAATAATTGCCAGTTATTCGCTCCGCTGACGATTTAACCGATACGATCTAACGTCTTCAAAAATATAAAGAGAAAAGTTCAGTTATTTCTTTCTAAATAAGATTCACTCGTTTCAAATGGGTTGAAATTTACACCCGTGGGGTTGAATTTTATACCCTATAATTATGATCGATTCCACACCCTTCTTATGCACAGCATCAACCAATTGCCAATTGATCATCCCTCTAGCAATCAATCATCCATGCTTCGTAATCACCTAGCAGTCACTGATTCTCATACACCCTTTTGTTTACGTTTCACTGCTCTAAAGAAATCAGACCAGAATCTAGTGTTATATGTCGAAAAGCTTTAATGCTTATACCTAAACAACAGTTAGTGTAAAACTCAAAACAAGTGCAGACTGTAAAAACCAACTTAAATTAGCCTCGGTGAGGCTGGCCGGCCTGGATGGACGTATCGGATCAAATGTAGTGGTGATACCTAAACACACAATCCTGGCTATTCAAAAAATCTTCCCTTTACTTACACGTATAAGAAGGCAATTATGTACTAGTTAGTAAACAAAATTTCATTAAATTATCAAATATAACTTTCGGTACAACCCCTTATTCTTGATCAGATAACTTTTACACAACTAATATGCCCAAATGAAGCATGATAATTCCCCCAACATGACTAAAATATGTAAAATATGCTAATTTTCCTTCATCTGGCAGTACCAATATGGACATGATGCGCCATTGCTATAGCGCATGCGCATATGCACTCACAACAGAAAAATTCTTAACCTCCCAATACCAAAGCCCTGAATTGTTACAATATATTGACCAATTAGAAATCCTCTGTACGACCATGCATTATTGTTCAAGGCATGGGCACACAGAAGATATTTGTTATGTTGGGGATCGGGGGGAAATTCAATGAATTATTGAAAATGTATTGCATTTTTTGTTTGTGTGTGTGAAAACTGCCCCCTACCCTAGCCCCCGGCAGCGTACAGTCATGGTTCAGTGGCAAAGCAATGACCTCGCAACTGTAAGGCCCCAGGATAAAAAAAACGTGTCGATGTGCTATATTAGTGCCCTTCTGTGGGGCATTAATCCTCATTACTGTCATTTATGACTTAACTCTTATCCTGCCACAGGCCTAATCCCCATTGTGCTAAGCCACAAATCCCTCAGTGCCAAATTTATATCGAGATAATCGGATTAACGTGATGGTACTACCAATAGCGCATGCAAAACACTAGACACAGTCCAGTGGGCATGAATAATAACTGCTATTACGAATGCGTGCAATCATGCAAGAAGCAGAGTAACAGTAGCTTGCTCGCGTGTACAAAGCACTGTAACAATAGCGTGCATGCAGCCTTATCGCAGGCTATGAGTTAAGGGCGTAGGTCCCCTAGTTGATAAGCATAGCAGCATACTCATGCTTTTATAGCAGTCACGAAAAAAAAACACTGGCAAATTATTATTCAATAAAATCTGAGAATGTATACTATTATCTAGATCTATTGAGAATAAATCATTGTCAAAATAATTCCATAAATTGGGGTAAAAACAAATATTTCCACTATATGAGCGACAGTGTAGTTACAACAATATATCTGGCTTAACCACCCATTTTACTTGGAAGCCATACATTGAGGATCGATGGAATTTAGAACCGTGGCATTATGACATTGTTGTAGCTTATAAAATGTAGGCAGCATTGTCATAAAGATAAACCCACATTCAATATAATTATCATAACGACCCAAAGAAAGATAGCCAGACAAATGGGAGAGAGCGAGAGATGAATCGAAAGGAGTGTAAGAGGTAAGAGGGACAGATGGGAAGGATATGGACGGGGAACGCAGGATTATTTTAGTCAGGTTCTTAGAAATAACCACATTTGGGTTGAAAGAGAGAACAAATATTAACATATCCTTTTTTCTCTTGATAATATGTCGGCAATGAATTGAGAGTTTGGGTAGACGTCTTGGATGTAGAATAGCAATAGATCCTGGGCACATGTAGTGAAAAAGATAATGACGATGATAAGGATAAAACGATAACAAAAATAAGGACAGTAAGTTTTTTTGTTAAAGGGTACAAAATCAAGTTACACGTCTGTCAGGCATTATATTCATTTGCAAAACAGTCAAGATTAAATTCGATACCCTATATTCATATTATCAAAAATCATATTTACATTATTTAAGCTAAATAATTATTTCAAAAAACACTCTCACTCGGGCACGTACCAAATAAAGAACAAATATTTTCAAATTCATAGACGATATACTGTTGTGTTAAAATACTAAGTGTAACAAAAGTGATCATGACAAAAATATAATTTGAATAATAAGAATAGTATTACTATTTTGCGTTAACATAATAACAATAACAATGATAACTAGACATTGAATTCGTCACGAAGACGAATTACGTGATCTGCCGCTTTCATCGAGACATAACACATGTATAAACTCAATGCGAGATTCGATTCCCCTAAACCCACAATTGAAATTAGATGCATGAAATGATTATTTGAATCATCTGAAATTATGTTAGTTTTACTTTTGATATAATAATATTCATAACTATGCAATAAAGCGACAGGAAAAATAGTAAAGACATTAATCCCTTGCTCTAGGTTCCATTTAAAATCCAAAACTATCTAGCTGGAGTAAGGCAGTAAAGGAAAAGCATTATTTCTCTGATGAAATAAAATGCTATCTGTGCTCTTGTTCCACTGTATACGTTAAATAGAAAGTTTTTTTCTGCCATATCCGTGAAAGAAAACATCAAGCCCAAACTTGTAAACTGCTGGGTAAGTGTAAACCTGAATTATTCCACAAAATAATCGGACCACTCATTTTTGTTCTTCTTAAATAACTGATATTACTTAGCTAAATGATCTATTGCGCCTCATAAATATAGTACAAATATATTTAAATGTATTCAAAGAGAAATTTGAGTTCTGGGAAGAGGTGAAAAAAAATTTGTGAGCGTTATCATTCTTATTATGCAAGTGTGGAAGAACATCAAATAAGACATATGTTCCCTGAAAAGCATGGCTCTTCAAATGCCTTCATATTCTAAATATGTCATGTACATCGTAAAACTCGGGGGGTAGGTTTTTTACGCCACGTGTTCGTGTAGTCCCATATACATCTTTCTGTGTACAGTGTTTGTAACTTTACCAAGACTTGGCCAATTTCTTATCATTTAGATGATTCCAGAACCTTGCAATACACACAAATTCTTATATGCTAGATGATCAACCTTTTCTGGTCGATTCCACACCGTTTCTTTCACAATGAAATCGCATGACCAGAACTCAACTTCATCCTTAAAGCTATTACATACGTACTTAAATCATAATCTGCTGCTTAGAAATAAATTTATGCTGTTTCGATGTAAAATAGTAAAATACATGTTCTATGTACATCTTTGCATAAGTAGACTACTTTTCCTTGTGTTTACCCATGATATACAAGACCTGCAAGCTTGACCACAGACTGTTTATTATCAGTGCGAGGTCATACAGGTCTTTCTCGTAGAAAAAAAGGTCGTGTTTACATTTATAAACAACTTCGGTACTGTGTTTACACTTTGCAAGAGAATATGCAAGTGACTAAAGGCTCATTCACACCAATATAATTATGTGAAATGGGTATTCACACATACTGCCATTTCATATCATTCATAAATGACTATCCATGACGGGAATATAACACAAACTGAATGGGACATATTGCAGTTTTCATCTTAAATCGGAATTTGACCACGATTCCATCTTCTGATCAAAAATTGAACCTTGTACATTTGTGGAGTAAAGTCTCAGCTACAACATTATGAAATACGAATCAAATTTCAATGTTTTTCTTTAAAGGCTATGCCCACACAAAAAAAATTGCCTTTGATAGATGCAGAAGAACAAGAAAAATAGAGCAAACAAAAATTGAGTAAAATCGGATAGGTTAGATCTGGGGAATTGGAGACCCTTAAGCACATTTGCATAATTTACATGAACATGAGAAATGTTACACATACAGAAAGTTTTGTATTCTCTTTAGTTACTTCTTTTCTTTATTTGGTAACACAATTGTGGTCATGATGTAACTGATTAATAAGATAACAATGATTAATGATGTCATCACCAAGGTCTCTCATTACCTACATGTGTAGATAATAAAGGACAATTACAAATCAACTGTTCTATCACCTTCTCTTATGTTATTCTTTGTTTGAATCATTCCATTACTTTCTCTTTCTGTCTGTCTTTCTTTATTTATTTTTTGTTTCTTCCTTCTATCACCATCTCTTTATGTCTTTCCTTATGTTATTCTTTGTTTCTTTCTTCAATTACCTTCTCTTATGTTATTCTTTGTTTTTATCGTTCTGTCATTTTCTTCCTAGCATTCCTTATGTTATTCTTTGTTTTTCCATCTTTATTCTTCTCTTCTTCTATCTTTCCATTATCTATTCTTTATCATTTTGTCTTTCATTATGTTATTCTTTGTTCCTTCCTTCTATCACCTTCTCTTATGTTATTCTTTGTTTTAATCATTCTATCACTTTCTCTTTCCGTCTTTCCTTGTGTCATTTGTTGTTACTTTCTACTGAAGACATTTTAAATACACTTTCAAAAAGTGTTTGAACTAACTATAACAATCCCATTTTCATTCAAATTGTATTTAAAATGTCTTGATTTATAACGGTCCCTTATTACCTACACATGTAGGTAATGAGAGACCTCTGGTGATGACGACATTAATCATTGTTATCTTATTAATCAGTTACATCATGACCACAATTTTGTTACCAAATAAAGAGAAGAAGTTACTGAAGAGAATACAAAACTTTCTGTATGTGTAACATTTTTCATGTTTATGTAAATTATGCAAATGTGCTTAAGGGTCTCCAATTCCCCACACCTACCCTAATTTGGTACAAGAAGCATTTGACCAATTTTGAATTTTGACAAACGCGTACGCGCGCACGGACATGGTTGTGACCAGAGGTTTACCCGTGACCTCAAGTTTATGCATATACAAAATCATTCAGAAATGACAATGTATAAATGAAATATGGTCAATATTAGAAATTAACAAAATGGCGCCTAGATGACGTCACGCATTAGTGATAAAAAAAGATCTCTTCGTTATGCACAATAATCATGCACATGCAACATGCCATGACAGTTTCATGGTTATTAGCCATGCCATTTATGAGACATCCACAATACAAAATTCATGCAGAAAGAATAGAAAAAGAAAACAAGCTTCTGACGAAATCAATAGGTGATCTGCCACGCTTCGTGGCGGATCACCCAAAAAGATATATTCTGGTGAAATTAATTTTGCCGAGCTTCGCTGCGCGGCAGATCATCTAATAATAGCCACATCTATCCGTACTTAACTTTGTGTAAAATAATATCCCTTCTGGGTCCACACAGACAAATATATACATATATGTTTATTTGTCATAAAAAACAGCACCCACACAAACACTCTTCTCCTGAGACAAGAGTGATACAAAACGATTGATAACACCAAATAATTGAACTTTGCGAAAAATAAATAAAAACCTAATAGTCGATATGATATACATTCACTATGGTAGAAATGTAGCAAACATCATTGCTTCAATGACCAAAGCATGACCCCATCAGTCTTTCTAGAACCACGACTGATTCCTGCTATGCTTCATGTATTTACTGACTGGAAGGAAAGAGATCATCAGCAAGATGAATTTGTCCAGATTCCTCCAAAGCAGTCTTCAAAGCTCCTCGCTCGGTAGATTTCGTTTGACCTTTTTGCCAGTCCCGGAGCATTTGAAGAGTTCCATAATGTGTTACCTCCTGGTCTTTGTAATTAGTTGCTAAGTACCCTTGAATATCACCCAGGGATATTCCAAGTTTCTTCCCTAATGTGTCGATTTCTGCTTTTTTGCGGACTGTTGTGGCAACTTCCACCAAAAGATCGTCGAAATCTTTGTTGGACGGTAGACGACCCGGTGACGGAAAATATATGAAATATAAAGGGGGAAAAAAAAAATTTAAAACGAGGTTCAGTTCTCCTCTGGTGACTACTTTGTGCGAGAAGTACACGAGAAGTGGTGCAAAATGTGACGCTTTTATATTCAGAAAAAATGATGACAAATTGACTTAATATAATCTTGCTTAAAGTCATATGCGCTGCACACACACATATGTGTATTGGACAACTTGATACCAATAATCGACACAGTCAGATACTGAAAGAGATCACTCAAAAATGCTCAATATTAAGTAATCCATGTTAGTCATCCTATCATCCAGGTTATAAAATCGCAAGAGCATGATACAGATCCTATTTGTCATCTGGGTCATCAGAAGGCCAGAGTAATATACTGAACAATTTGTGATCCAGCGCGCACGCGCTACTCTGCTACTGTATATCGTTGTCTCTGGATATTCTGTCAGAGTAACTTACCGTGGAATGCTCGTGCAGAATACGAGTGCGTAAATCAGGCAAGCAGCCTATCCGATATGTATCCCGCCTGTGATTTTTTTTATCCGTACCTCTAACGCGTCAGATCAGCCCGTTTAATTGGAATCGGGTGATGGAGACCAAAGTGAATGGAGACCAAAGCGCAAACTTCAATTCGAATTCGATTTGAAGATCAGACTCCGCTAACTGAGAACGAGTACGAGTAGATCGAGCCTATGCTATTTGTTTTACGCTATACGTTGAAACGTATCCTCATACAAAAAAAACATGGACCTACCATGGTTCTAAACCGTGGTTTACCATGGTTCTTATGGCGGATGATAATTTGGACAAAGAACCAAGGTAACCATGGTAACTATGGTACTGAGAACCATGGTAACACCGAATTACCACGGTTCGATGTTACAATGGTTCTCAGTACCACGTTAACCATGGTTCTCCCGTACCACGGTTACCATCATAATTGTCACGTACCTGTCGTTACCATGGTTCTCTCATTCCTTTATTTGCCATCGTTCTCCCGTACCTTGGTTTTTGTGGGACACCCAAACAGTCGCCGTAGCCATCTGTATTTTTCTAAATAAAAAGATAGCATTGGTGATATTGCATGATCGCAAATGTTTTGATCAGTTGAAATTCTACTACCTCAATGTACTTCCAATACAGTACTCCTCACAAAATCTGCCAGCCCTTGTTCTTTTGTTTTTTTTACTTAATTGAAAGAGCATGGTCTTCAAAGTAGACAGATAAATGACAGGAGCTGGCATGACGTTCACTTCCAACACAACTAACCATTTTCTCGAGGTTCTACAACTTCTCTCGCAAACATCTGTTAAAAAATACATGACAATCATGTTGATTCATTTGTATCATATTTAACAGTGTATCCTTCAATTTTTACATATTTCACCCAAAAAACATAATAAAAACAATGTTAAATTGCCTAGTAATTGTCGAATATTATGGCCAGTTTTAACAAAGAAATATTAGTCTTGAAAATTTAGAGTAGATGTTTAAAAGGGTAAGTTTGGCAATTTGCAATAGTTCTCTTACGTTAGGCATCTTGAGTAAAAACAATGAGTATGCATTTTTGCTGAAAAATTTCATTCGTAATTTTCCACTAGGGAAAAAAATGTAAGTACTTTATTCGTGTATTTCAATTTGGAGAATAAATCACAAATGATAAATGATATGAAGTTGCATCAATTGGAAATGAAAATACTTGTGTACTTCATATAAGCCTTCTATATTCACTGGCAAAACAAAATCAATTACTGCCTAAATATTTTGACAAGTGCATGGGGAGGGGGGAGGGGCGCTGTGATATTATACTAATAGACTATGGGACATGGACCTGTATCTTTTACTCTTGCACTCCGGTGACGGGCAGAACTTCAAAATGTTTTCAAAAGGTGGTTAATATATCCCTAAATCCAAATTCACTAGATCCCACGTGCATACTTTGCAGGTTTTTTCAGTAATGTTAACCTAAAGTTGGGCTCAAAACCCTGTCTATTTTGTATAGGTATGGCGCAAATACAACAAGAGAGGGCGGTATTTTCTAATATGCCTTTGGGGGCTAAACTTGGTCTGTTACGTGTGTAAACATTTGATTTAATGGAACAAATTGCTTGAAATGATTGATTTAATGTTGTCAGCATTAAATTCCAATCATGTAAGTGCATATCATCTAATATCTTGGTATGGAGGGGTCACGCACAATTGAAAAAGTTCTACCGTAAATGACCGAATGCACATTCTACATTCTTCATTTTAGAATGAACCCGCATAAAATGTTAATGATATTTATAAACATCATGAAGGGTTATTTCGTACGTCATTCCAGAAGGCTTAAGAGACGTTGAATAGAGAGGGCCGGCCGCATAAAATCCCGAGCCGCGGATTCGAAGTTAAACGTTAAAACAGCCCGTGCGTTAAAATACAAAGGTCATCAATCTTTGGTGAGAAATTTGAAAAGGGCACATTATTTTGGATTTTTAGATGATGGGGCGAGCGACAGGGGTGGGTTACTATCACTTTAGATAAGTGCGCTCTTTACTTTCGATATTTGCCCCTATCAAATATGAGAGATGCTCATTTTACTATGAAAAGTACCCCTCCTAATAAGTGCTCTTTTCATCTCTGATGGGTGCCCATTTTTACCTCTGATAACTGCCCCTTTTATTTTTAATCGTGCCCCTTTTCCTTTCTAATAAGGGACCTATACCTTTTTTTTTTATAAAATCCCAACTTCACCTCTGATAAATGCCTCTATCAAATTCTGATAGATGCCCCTTTTCCGTCGACAAATGCCCATTTTCCATACTCATAATTGCCCCTTTTCATCTCTGGTGAGTGCCTTCTGTCAGGTGTAAGAAGTGCCCTATTTTAACCTTTGATAATTACCTGTTGTAGTTTGTACCTTGAAACATGCTCCTTTTATTTTCTAATAATTTTCTTTATCCCTTTCGATAAGTGTCCCCTTTACCACTCATCATTAAACATGCCCCTAATATAAAGCGATGGAGAGTCTGAGTGGGTATGTGCCCCCCTCTGAAGCAGAAATATTCTTGATTTTTCAAACTTGATTCGTGAGATTTGGTTGAATACTTGTAGGGGGTTCTGATTTCATTTCATAACACCTGCAGTTAATGCGGGATGGGGTTGCAGCCTCCCTTTCCCCGAAAATGTAAAATTATCAAAATGCATTTTGTATATCTTATCTCGTATATTTTGGTGACAAAAAACACTTTCACAACATAAATATGCTCAAATTTTCGCTCGCTCGCCGAATTGTGAAACCAAAAAAGATCGATATTAGGGCAAGAGGGTTCAGCCCCCACTGATGAAAATGTTTAAAAAATTGCGCGCGAGCATAACTTGAAAACGGGGAATGTTGATATCGGACAAGAGACGTGACGTGAACCTGCCCCTTTCCAAAAGTGTTCCCGCTTGTTATTTTAGGTACCAGCATAGACCTACCACGAGCTAGTACAGTGCTTCTAATACGACCTTGTCAGTAGGCTTATTGGTAAGTTGAGTTAAAATAACTATCTGCGCGATTTTTAAATTTCCGCCCCCCCCCCACCCCCCCCCCCCCTTTATTGGAAAATACTGGATCCGCGCCTGTGATTGGGTGAACAAAGTTTGCGAAGATTCTTTAACAAAAATTAGGAAATAGGATATTTGTATCCATGATTTCTACTATACTGCATATGTTTATTTTAATAGTTCAATCATTAACAAATGGACGTCAACGTTTTAGAACAAAAATTGGTGCACCTAGAAATATTTACCGTCAAAGAATAACGGAGATATGGCTCACTTTTAATCATTGGATCATCGCGTCTGATGGGATGGTTGCGTTACACAGGCGCGGATCCAGAATTTCTTAGGGAGGGGGGGGGGGGGGGAGGGGGGTAATTTAAAAAAAAAAAAAACACCACAAAAGTGTTTTTTTGTTGCTTCAATAAACCCCCCCCCCCCCCCTGCGTACGCGCATGCTCGTCTGAATACAGTTTTTTCCCTCCCGCGCGAAGCGCGGAGGCTTTTACGTTTCATTAAATCATTAGAGAAAGAAGACGATTCGTTGTACCGTTCTCAACTCTTAATCCTCGTCTGAATACAGTTACCCCACCTCCTGCGCGAAGCGCGGAAGCTATGACATTTTATTTAATTATTAGAGGAACAAGACGATTTATTGTACAGTTTTCGACTCTAATTCTTGTCTGAATTTCAAAAAATGTTTTTTGTCTACTACTTTTTCTTCATACGTCCTCTTCCTTGCTCTCCTCTCTTTTTTTGGTCGGCGTCTTTTCTTTTGGGGGTGGGGCCGCCCCCACTGACCCCTGGCTACGCGCCTGCGGTCAGACGAACATCTTTTGATACCTTGTCCGCCCCCGGAAACTCATGGGTTGAAGGCAAATTACGGTCAGATAAGCATTCAGGGGCCCTCCTCAGGCCCTTGGTTGGGTCCCGGGGCCAGAGCCCCCGGAAGCTCAGGGGTTTTAGGCGTTTAATTACGGTCAGATGAGCAATTTTTAATACCTTATTTGTTTGTGACACTGGTAGTTAACTATTCTTTCTTTCTTGCTCTCTTTCTTTCTATTTCTCTTTAAAATGCTTTTCCCAAAAAAATTGGGGGGGGGGGGAGCTGGAGGCTCCTGATCCCCTGGAAAAATCGCAACTGATCTCGTCCGCCTTTCTTATTTCTTCTTTTTTCTTTCCCTTTCTCTCCTCTTTCCCTTTCCCTTCCCTTCCTTCTCTCTTTAAGATTTGATGGGGGGGGGGGGGGTGAGACAAGGTCATTTCGGCCCCCACCCTTCCCCACACGTTGTTGGCGGTATTAAATTCAAATGTTCTATATCCCCTTCTTTTCACCTTTTTTCGGTCTCTTTTAGCTCTCCTTTTTTCCTTTTCCTTCTTTCTCTCTTTTTTGTTAACGGGGCGGGGGGAGGCAAGGGCATTTGGCCCCACCCCCCACCCGATCCACAACTTGTTGGCGGAAAAATTGCAACTGATACCCCCTTCTTTCTATTTCCTTTCTTCTCTCTTATGTTTTTGATTGGGGGAGGGGGGGCGAGGCTCTTTCGCCCCCCCCCCCGATCACTTCTTCCCCTTTTCTTTTCTTCTTCCTCTTCTTTCTTTCCCTTTCTCTCCTCTTTCCCTTCTCTTCTCTCTCTCTCTTTTTTTTTCCTCTTTTTTTTTTCCCTTCTTTTTTTCCCTTCTTTTTTTTCCTTCTTTTTTTTCCCTTCTTTTATTTTTCCTCCTTTTTTTCCCTTTTTTGTCCCCCCTTCTTTTTTCCCCTTTTTTTTCCCAGGGTGGGGGGCCGGGGGGCCCGGCCCCCCCCCCCCCCCCCCCCCCCTGGATCCGCCACTGGCGTTACACGTCCTTTCGTGAAGCAATAACGGAACATCACGCCACTTTCGTAGATTTGTCGTAGGGTTCTCACAAAGCGTAGGTTAAATTGTATCAGGCTATTTGTAGTTGAGAGGGGGTTTATTTCCCAAACATTAACCCCGACATTTCGTGAATAAACGGGCATGTTTTCACAAAACGGGTAGCGCAATCACCTGAAACGACTCGATGACCGGATGATTCGAAGTAAGGCAGAGATATCGCGATCTCAAAATTCGATGTCGGATCGGCATTAGCTTTATAACTGACGGAAAAGTTATTGAAAAACCGAGACCCTCATTCGCGCACTGGAGTTTGCAGCTGATGTATCTTTAAACTAGATGGAACTTCAACTGCGCGCAGTCGAAATGATGCCTCCGTCATAGAGCAATTTTACAAACAAAAACAGAAGAAATTTTTCAAATTCAAGTTCAATTGTAATCCATTAACAGTTTCTCAGAATATCGTGATTACAAGCAATTTCTCATATACATATATGACCCTTTGATCTTTGACCTCATGACCCTAACATCTACTCAGTTCATTGGCTCTACAAGATGTCCCGAGTTAAATAGTAATCCATTTGTCAGTTCTAATGAGAATGCGTTCACGAGCTATTTTTGCATACATAATGAGCCGCATGACCTTTGACCTTGACCTTATGACCCCAAAATCTAATCAGTTCATCGGCTCTGCAAGTAACATACATGACCTAATTTTGGCAGGAATCCATCAATCGGTTCTTCAGATAACGCGATCACGAGCTGTTTTTGCATACATAATGAGCCCTGTGACCTTTGACCTTTAAACTCGTGACCCCAAAATCTAATCAGTTCATCAGCTCTGCAAGATACATACATGACCAAAGTTTGGCAGGAATCCATCAATCGGTTCTTCAGATAACGCGATCACGAGCTGTTTTTGCATACATAATGAGCCCTGTGACCTTTGACCTTTGAACTCGTGACCCCAAAATCTAATCAGTTCATCGGCTCTGCAAGATACATACATGACCAAAGTTTGGCAGGAATCCATCAATCGGTTCTTCAGATAACGCGATCACGAGAACGGGACGTACGGACGGACGGACGGACGTACGGACGTACGGACGGACGGACGGACGGACAACCCGAAAACATAATGCCTCCGGCTACTTCGTAACGGAGGCATAAAAATGGATCCATAACATATAAAAACGATTGCATAATATTTTAAAGGAAAAATATCACCCAATCAGTTGGTATCACTTTATATTTTACGATTATGTCGATTCCTAGACCCTTGTCGGTAAGTTCAAAATTATCGACAGGGACACGATAAACAGCAAAATTTGCCGATCTTTAGTCAATACTTTAATTTGTTCAAACCCAATTTCAAACAAAACTGTGTCTTTAGGTTGTGTTAGGTTTTTCTTTTTAATGGTAGTATCAGATTTTTGAAATTTCAAAGATTTCTTGAGATATGGAAATGTCCACGAATTTAGGCCACGCAAGAAATATGGGCACACTACCATATGTTTATTTATGTCACCTCCTTTAATATTAACTGTTATTTTTAGGGTAATCTATTTATTATCTTCATTTTACTGTGACTGTATTGGATGTTGAAAAGGAATTTTAAATGTACGATCGTCAGTATTAATTGATCACATGATCATGTTGTGCTAATTTGAATGAACGCTTGAGGAAGCGTGCAAAACATAAGAATTTCGAATGAAAAACAAGTTAATTCGGCTGAAGAATGTGCGAATTTGACCATGAATGAAAACTATCGAATATCAAGGGTGGGCTAGATTATTTCAAATTGAATCCACGCATCGCATAATGGTCAAGTTATAACATTTAGAGGTAAATATCTTCCTCAAATTCATTTTTATTGGTCATACTATTAACCCTAAAAAGGCCGGGCTATTTGAGGTCTTAGTACGGCCGGGGGGGCATTATGGCCCCCCCCCCCATTAAGATCTCGGCCGTGAAGCAGCCGATCTCCGCGAAAATGTGCATGCTTGTCAAGTGAAGTGTATAGAATAATATGATACTTTCAAATTCACTTATTTGCATATTTATGGTGATTTATGCAAATAAAGTCATAAAATCACATTTTTGCCAATAAATCATATAATATTCATATTTGAGCATTTTTTTTCACTACATATCTTCATTAGACCAAATGGAATAAAATACGACAAAAAAATTTGGAAGAGCTAGCTTATTCCTTATGTTATCTCTTGTTTTTATAATTTCTTATGTATTTCAATGTTTTTTTAACTTATGTATTTTAATGTTTTTGTTGTTTTATTTCATTTCTTACTACAATTCAACTATTTTGACTCCAAAAACAACCACCTAAACTTTAAACAAGACCCAATAACCAAGTTTTACGAAAAATGACATTTCCATATGTTTTGTACACAAATCACAAAATTAAGCGATTTTCGGGCTGACATGCAAAGACAAAAGGTCACGTGACCTTGTAACTGTTGGTCCAATTTTCATTTTTTTTTTTTGAAAGATGCGCAAGACTCGAAAGAAAAAAGTCAGCGAGCGGCGGGGCGCCATCCATATGCGTTCCCGAGCAATCAGAAAAATCGTGGAGGGGGGCCATAATGCCCCCCCCGGCCTTATTAGGGTTAAGGGAACAGTGCCGTTATGGCGCGGGCCGGGTCTGTCGTCTTCTTATTAAAAAGAAATCCTGCCTATCCTGTTGTCTCTTTAATTGTATGTATTTTTGCCTTATGATTGGGGATGTAGACCTATAACCCCTTTTATTTGCAATAAAACAAACTTGTTTTATTGATAAGGAAATTATAAGTTGATCTTACTCGGCTTTACGTATTTACCTTTTGGTTTCTGGAGGAACTTAATTAGCTTACATCGGTCTACACTGTCCATTCCATATAGGTCGTCGTTGCATTGAATTACACATTCTGAACACTCAAATGTGGTTGGCTGGGAATCTTGAAAGAGCCACATCGTTAGATTTTTGTTGTATTCCAGTTGAAGATTAGATATGGAGTAAACGACGACAGCAACACGACGGGATCCTACGGAAAAAAAAGTACAGAAATAAAATGAACGATATTTACTGTATACAAATACTGAATGTTCCGTTGATCAATGTTGATTATCAATCGAGTTGAGGCTGTGTGCATCTATCGTCGGCAAAGTCAGGCTGAGTACAATATATGCATAAAGAGCCTCAAGAGCGGACAGATTATGTCTGCATTCTATCGATCATTTCATTAGGATCTTGGAGTGAGTTGTATATCTAAGTAGCCCTCCGAGTCGAAGCCTGCAGCTCATACATGTAAGTAATGGGTACGCGCGATGAACTGTCCGGAACCCACGTGAATTATAAGTTTGCTGTTAAATATCTCGTTCATTCGAATATATTTGTTATTATTTTTAAATCACATACAAAAAGATTCTCTACGCGAATCAGCGTTCGCATAGACAGAGATAATCTTCTGTTTATATATACAGATATATCAACAACTTAGCTAGTAAAGACGCACTAGCATTGGATAATTTTTATTATAATCAGAACCAAATCTTGCGATTAAATGGTAAGCAAAACAGTTATAATAGAGCTCCGTAAATGCACTGTTGAAAAAAAGATTGACTAAGAGAGAGTAAGGAATAAATGTTCAGCTAAATGCTTAATAATAATAAAAGAAATGCGTGCAGTTAGTGAGAAAGACTTAGAAACAGAGAGAGAGAAACAAAAAAGTTAATGGCTAAAATAAAATGCATGCTGCCCACCTGTGCTAAAGAGGAAAAGTAATTTTCGGAATAAACGGGAGAAGAATTTGTCATCACCATATGGACCATGTGTTTATATAATAACATGAAACAGATGCAATCAGCACTGCAGTCAGGGGCGGATCTAGCTTTTTGCCAAGGGGGAGGGGAGCGGTGACCCAGTGGCGGATCCAGGATTTTCCAAAAAATCGCGCCGTCTTACTGTTTTACCTTTTCCCCCTTCTTTCCCCCTTTTTCCTCCCTTTTTCACTTGGCCGCCCAAGGGGGGGGGGGTTAAACCGCCGAACTCCTCCCCCCTAGATCCGCCCCTGGCATTCATGACGAGTTGAAAGTGAACTTTAAAAGTTCCGTAGATTTTATGTTCCATTTCCCATATTTTGACATACATCTACTTGATGCCATTCTTTCGGCCGTTGCCATGGTAAGGAATTTTAAATATATATTTGTAATCAAAGCTAGCTACCCTTTTAATTTCAATAAACATCCCAGTCATCCAAGGCCATGGTTACGCAGAAATATTGCGATATATCAATTGCGTGCTAAAAGTTTGTTTACCGGCAAAATCTACGTCATTTAAAGTCTTATTAATGCAACAACAGTATCGATGTTATGGCAACGACATGGTAGAAATCTGTATTTAGGGCCGAAAGAATGGTATTTCTGAATCTGTAACACTGGGAGGGGAGGTTGAAGCTTCGGCATCCCAGAACCCCATAATCAGGACGATGACTATAGATTAAGGAGGCTAACCATTATGGGCCGCTGTTATAGGGCCATTATTAGGGACTTTTAGATTGAGTGGACGAGAACACGACGAACGCCGACTGATCATGCGTGTCAACGTACTTAACTGCCCATGTTGACTACAATTAGAAATCTTTTAGATTGTACTCGACAATATACATGCATGCAGGAAGTAATACTATGAACATCATGGACAAAGAAAGAGGACAAAATATACAGTTCCTCATTCTACCCTCAACAAAAGAACATCCCTTCACTGCTATTATGAAAAATGTGTAGAACAGGAGAATATGCATGTGACACCTGTTCTACACATTTTTACATAATAGCAGGGAAGGGATATTCCTTTGTCTACCTGAGGAACTGTATATTTTATGCACACGCGGCATACTAGTACCTTGAGCATGTAAAGGCGCTATATAAATATCAATATGTATGTATGTATGTACTAGATTTAGGAAAATCAAGGTTGACGCATTCTCGATCGCCGACTGAGACGACGTAACGCATGCGCAGTGCCTTAAAATGACGTCACACGTTGCAGTCAAAGCTGTCGACGTGCAAATCTAAAAGTCCCTATTAACGACCACACAAACAGACACAGATGCATTCAAACAAACAAAGGTCAGACCAAAATAGAAAAACTACCCAGAAGAAAAGACAATTAACAAGCAAACAAACAAAGGTCAAAGCAAAATCGACAAAGCGACAAGAATGACAAATTCACCAGCAAAGGATGAACTGAAACATACATAACAGCATCGTACGAACTGACCCTCAAAGGACAACAGAGGGCGTTTTGGGTTTACAGTAAGCAAGGATAAACTAAACAGCATAACATCATCGTACGAAATGACCATCAAAGGACAACAGAGGGAGGGCTTAGGCACAGTAGTTCATCTGCGCAGTTATGTATTTTTTTATTTTTAATCTATGATTATCAATCAAATTGCACCGACCATTTAGCCTGCTGAACAAATGCCATTTTGATATCTTTAGTGCCCAAATGATTAATCATTCTTGCCTCGTCTTCAATAATCTGTCATATTATAATTGGGCCCCCGTCCCCTATGAAACTCCCATTTTGTCTTGTTCTTTTCATTTTTGCACTCGACGCCACTGATTTTTTTCATTAGCCTCCCTCTCTACCCAGCCCTCCCCCGACAGTAACATTTTCGATCCAAGACCCCCTTCCAATACTTATATTTCCATAGGTCCTAGCTATTACCCCCCCCCCACACACACACACACACACACACACACCCTAACGACATTACACCAAGGCACATCCAGTCAATATCTCTCATGTTAAAATCACCTCCTAACCGAACAGAACAGTTACTGCCGTAGTTGGAGTGAAGTTTGGAGATTGACCTGTCAAGCTCATCAAGTGATTCTGTGGAGGAGTTTGGATTATAGTATGCACCGACGTATCAAACCGCGTTTCTTCCGAGATCAAGTTTGATCCATAATAATTCGGCGTTAAAGGTACTATGTCCCTTTTGCAGCCAGCCAACCTCAAATGCTGTAGAACTTTGCAGGAATTATGAATATGTCATGTAGTCTAGATCTATGTCCTATCTGTGAAATTTAAACGTTAGCAGTGTCCTCATATTCAAATTATGCAAGGAAACCCGTTTACTTGCTAGACTTCACTGTCAGACACTATTGAGTGACTGACTGGCTTTTTTCTTCTTTGGTAATAACATACATGAAAAGAGTTGTAAAGGGTACATGAGCATTTGTCTACATCAATAACCACTTCTTGTGATGGCCAAGATTAAACTGATTGAATCTTTGCGCAGCGTAAAACGTATGACCATTCGGTACAATTGTCTGAAAATCAAGACTATTACTTTTGGGCTCTATAGCCCTCAAGTCGATTTGACAACTAATAGTCGTTATTTTCCCACTTGAAGACATTTTCAAGCCCCACCTATTTAAGGGAAGTTCTAAATTAGTATTATCTTTCAAATGCAGTTGGAATTTAACTTTTTCATTTTTTTGGCCTGCAAATGGGACATAGTACCTTTAACAGAGAGTTCGTCTAAGATCTGGGAAGTCATGTTTTTGACTGCGATCATAACTCCGCCATAACCATCGGCGCGATCTTTACGGAAGATTTGGTAGTGATCAGGAAAGCTAGATTTCACAGATCTTTATATCTGCATTTAGCCACGTCTCAGTACATATCAAAATATCGGGTTGTTCAGCTTTCAGTAGAACTTAAAATTCTTCAACTTTGCTTTTAACCCTAAAAAGGCCGGGCTATTTCAAGTCTTAGTACAGCCGGCGGGGGGGGGGGGGGGGGGGGGGGGCATTATGGCCCCCCCTTAAGATCTCGGCCGTAAAAAGGCCGATCTCGGCTAAAATTTGCACGCATGTCAAGTGAAGTGTATAGAACAATATGATAATTTCAATTTTTTGAAAAATTTACTCATTTGCATATTTAAGGTAATTTATGCAAATAAGGTCATAAAATCACATTTTTGCCCATAAATCATATATTATTCATATTTGAGCATTTTTTTTCACTACATATCTTCATTAGACCAAATGGAATAAAATACGACAAAAAAATTTGGAAGAGCTAGCTTATTCCTTATGTTATCTCTTGTTTTTATAATTTCTTATGTATTTCATTGTTTTTCAAACTTATGTATTTTTTTTTTTTTTTTTTTTTATTTCATTACAACAATTCAACTATTTTGACCCCAACAAAACCCCATAAACTTCAAACAAGACCCAATAACCAATGTTTGATCTATTTCTAGGAAAAATGACATTTTCATATGTTTTGTACACAATTCACAAAAATGAGCGATTTTCGGGCTGACATGCAAAGACAAAAGGTCACGTGACCTTGTAAATGCAGGCCCGATTTTCATTCTTTTTTTTTTTAAAGATGCGCAAGACTCAAAAGGAAAAAGTCAGCGAGCGGCGGGGCGCCATCCGTATGCGTTCCTGAACAATCAGAAAAATCATGGAGGGGGGGGGCATAATGCCCCCCCTCCCGGCCTTATTAGGGTTAATGCTTTGGAAGTTCATGCTAAATATCTTCAAGCCAGGTCTTTTTTGGTTTGAGTCATGCTGTTTACTGGAATCTTGAACTGGTTGAGCATTAGAGCTTGTATCATTTCGCATATCATTAGTAATAGTAGTTGTGTAAATGCGCCTAACGACAAATGACTCACACTAGATCAGTTTCCTTTCTTCGGATCTTTATTCAAAGTTCAATCCAACTACTGTCATTGCAAATGACAACTTTGGATCTGTAGCGTAGTCTTGTAGCGGTTCCCTAAAAGAAAAGATAACAAATCTTTGTCATAAATAATATGCTCTAATTAGAACAAAGACTATTTGTATGTTCAAAGCAATGAACAACAATATATGTCATCTATTGTAATCTGCTTGGAGCGTGTTTGTAATGAACTCAAATGGATGCATTAACTTGTTTATATCAGAGTAATTAATTCTGTCTCTTCTACTAGCATAACTTGAATAGTGTATACTATTCTGAACCTGATCCTTA